CTATTCAAGCCTTGAAATTGACGTAGCGCGAGAATTCTGGTCTTCTAGCGACAGACTCGCCGTTTCCGCCCCTAACACTATCGACCGTATTTAATTCTGATTCGTTTATAATAAACCACTATCTAATGTCTTATCGTAGTGAATTTTCAAATTAAATTCTCGTAAAACTGTCATTTTAATTCATTGTAATATTACTCTGTTTAAATTTTCATTAATGACAAACCCCGCACAAAAAGAAGTAAATATATTGTTACTTGGAGAGACTGGTGTAGGAAAATCTACATTTATAAATGCACTCTATAACTATCTTAGATTTGACACTTTAGATGATGCATTATGTGGGCATATGGAAATACTAATCCCATCAAAATTTACAGTAACAGACGATAATTATGACCTTAAAACTATAAAACTTGGAGATGATTCAAACGAAAATTTAGAAAATGTTGGAATGTCAGCCACTCAAACATGTAGAGAATATCAATTTGAATTAGGAGATGTAATTATAAGATTTATTGATAGTCCAGGAATTGGTGACACAAGAGGAGTTGATAAAGATAAGGAAAACTTAGAAAATATTCTTAAATTTATTAGCAATTACGAATATCTGAATGGCATTTGTATCCTTCTCAAGCCAAATAATGCACGATTAACCATATTATTTAAATTTTGTATACAAGAACTATTATCTCATTTACATAAGAGCGCCAAAGACAATATAGTTTTTGTTTTACTAATTGCAGAGGAACACTCTATCGTCCAGGTGACACATTACCTGCACTTAAGGAGCAACTCCATAGACTTGAACAAAGATCTGGTGTTGAAATAAAGACAAACAAAGAAACTATGTACTGTTTTGACAATGAATCATTTCGGTTTCTAGCTGCATCTAAGAATGGTGTAAACTTTGGTGAAATGGATAAAACAAGCTTTACAGAAAGTTGGAAAAGATCTGTCGCTGAATCTGTAAGACTTCTTCAATATCTTGGATTCCGTGACCCTCATAAAGTACAAGATACTTTAACACTTAATGAAGCTAGAAAGATAGTATTACATCTTGCTAAACCTCTTGCTAGTATAGAACAGAATATTAATCTAATTAAAGATCGACAAAAGGAGATTGATAGTTGCACCGAATCTATTAAAGATCTTCAAAAAAGACTGTATATCCCACAGCAATTCCTCGAAACAATAGAACTAGGATATCCTAGAACTGTATGCACAGAGTGCAACCGTGAAGTAGTGAATGGGAAAGTAAACTACAAATCTCATTGTCACAAACATTGTTATTTGGATGAGGTTGAGACTGAATTGCTTAACAATGCGAAATTATTGAATTGTTTGGCTATTCAATATAATGGAACTTGTCGTGTATGTAGGGATGTTAGATGGTCCGCAGGGGACCGGTTTTGGACTGGTTCTGGACTGGACTTTTTAAGACTTTTAGGGACCG